AATGATCAGAAAATGTTTCAATGCCTTCAGTGCAGCTTGGACTTCTTCCTTCAATACCATCAGTTTTTGATCATCTACTACCTGGTAATAATAGTAACAATTGTTTTTGTGTATTCCTTCCATCTTTTTAATGCTTCCTGCATCATTCATTGTTTTACCCATAGAATCGTTCCGTATTACAAATTGAAGCTTGATTTTCTTCACCTCTTTCAGTTTGAGAAATGCAGAGCATGGTCTTCCTTTTTGGTTTTCTAACTTTAAGTCTGCACATTTCATTATAATACTTGACTTTATCTTCTCGAGCTGCCCTCTGAAGTTTTCTGCTCAGCTCTTTTACCTCATTTTTTCCATTTGCTTTTAGCATCTCTGCACTGGTAAGCAAGTTTCAGAGTCTCTTGTGACATCCATTTTGGTCTTTTCTTTCTTTGCTGTCTTTTTAATGACCTTTTGCTTTCTTCATGTATGATGTTCTAGATGTCATCCCACAACTCCTCTGATCTTTGGTCATTAGCGTCTAATGCATGAAATCTCTCCTTGGGATGGTCTCTAAATGATATACTCAAAGTCATTGTTTTGACTCTAGTGGCCTTGTTTTAATTGTCTTCAGTTTTAATCTGAACTTGCTCAAGAGCACTAAGAGTCTGTTTTCAGTCTGCTCCTGGCCTTGTTTTGGCTGATAAGAATGAGTTCCTCCATACTCTCTTCCCACAGACATCATCAATTTGATTCCTGTGTATTCCATCTGGTGTGGTTCCACGTGTATATTCGCTGTTTGTGTTATTGAAAAAAAAAAAAAAAGGTATTTGCAATGAATTAAGTCATTGATATTGTAAAATTCTTTCTTACTATCTCCAGCATCATTTCTATAACAAAGACCATATTTTTCAACTTCCAATCCTTCCTCTTTATTTCCAACTTTCATACTCTAATCACCAATAATTGTCAATGCATTTGACTGCTTGCTTGATCAATTTGAGACTGAAGAAGTTGGCAGAATTCTACAATTCCTTTATCACTGGCTTTAATAGTTAGTGCATAAATTTGAATAATAGTCATGTTAACTGATCTTCCTTATAGGTAGATGGATGTTATCCTATCTATCACAGATAGCACTGGACATCAAGATAGATGTTAAAATGTTCTTTTTGCCAGTGAATATAAGACATTTCCTTTTCATTCAATCTGTCATTCCTGTCACAGTAAACCATATGACTGTCTATTCAAAATGGCCATAACCCATCCATTTCAGCTCACACTAATGCCTAGGATACAATCTTTATGTGTCCCATTGTGTTATCCATGACTCCCAATTTTCCTAGATTCAAACTTCATACATTTCATGTCCTGATTATTAATGGTTGTTTACAGATGTTTTTTTTTTTTCATTTTAAGTTGTGCCACATATCAGCAAACGAGATCCCAAGAGCACTGCCATCAAAGTCATTAAGGCCAGCTCTACTTTGAGGCAGCAGCTCTTCCCTAGTCATATTGGAAGTGCCTTCCAATCTGAGGGGCTCATCCTCTGGCACTGTATCTGACAATGCTCCACTGCTCTTCAGTCGTTTTACAGTAGCTAAGCCTTCTTCAGGAGTGATCCACCTCTCCATCTCCCCACTCTGTCTTAGTCTGGAAGCTAAGCTGAATTCTGGCCACCACGGATGATCCAGCAGGGATTTCTAATACTGATGGCAAAGCTACCAGTATCACAACAACACACAAGCCACCATAGTAAGACAACATGACAGACAAGTGATGGACACACTATTTAGTCCCTCCGTTTTTATATAATAAGAGCAATAACCAACATCACCACTCTCAGAACCAGCTTTGTAACTTCTCTTCCCTTTCCTACTCCTTTGAATTGATGACGAAATCCTCTAGTGTATGTATTTATGCAAATGAGTTTTAAAACATACTACGTATCTGTGTATATAAAATCCACGCATTTTAACCTATCCAAAAAAACACTACTGCTCATCAAAAATAAACACTAAATATCAATTATATTATTGTCCATAAAATTTTATATATTCAGGAATAATATACAGTGCTTTTGGAGTAAGCATGGTTTAGTCCAAACTATAAGCTAGGTATATTAATTAAGCTTAGCAAGAACGTTTCCATCTCTAGCCACAAGATGGCAAACAATTCATGGCTATTAATACTCTGGTAGCGCAATGGTTACGAATCGGGCTGCGAACCTGAAGTTCAGCAGTTCGAAACTACCAGCTGTTCCACAGGAGAAAGATGAGGTTCTCTGCTCCCGTAAAGATTTACAGCCTTGGAAACCCTGTACAGGGTCGCTATGAGTCAGAACCGACTCCATGGCACATAACAACAACAACAATGTAACAGTAATGAAAATGGCAAAAAAAAACCACAAAATTAACCCAACACAGAAAAATTATGTAGAACAAAGAATCCAGCAACACAACAAAAAAGCACACAGAAGAGTAACAGCAGTCAATTCACACCTACTGATAATTACATTGAGTGTAAATGGTTCAATCTACCAGTCAAGAGACATAGAGAAGAGGATGGAGAAGAAAGCAGGATCCTTCCATTGCTATCCACAAGTGACATATCCCAAAGATGGAGACAGAAGAACGGTTACAGACAATGGAATGTTATGCAATGTCGAATAATAATAATGAATCATTTTACAACATGGCTGAACCTGGAGGACATTATGCTGAGAGAAATTAGTCAATCAAAACAGCACAAATATCGTATGAGACAAATGGTGTAAAAAGTTTTCTTGATAGAAGAAACTATCTATAATGGTAAGAGGGATATGGGGAAAATTATTCATGGGCTAGAGGGTAGATACCTATTAACAGGGGTGACGGGGCAGCCAATAAACAACAAGAGTGGGGTTAGCAAAGGAAAAATGAAGGTAGTGGGAGGCAGAGGGAGGAAGGCAATAGTTAAAACTTCCCAGCAGTAAATGCTGTTAACTATTGGTGCATGGGGGGCAGGGCGGTTTTACAATCATGTAATGAAGGAAAGCATATGATCTGTTAAATATAAATCTGATGATCTGCTCTGTAAACCTTTACTCAATTCACAATAAAATCCTTCATTCATTCATAATGAAAAAGAAATCAAATGACAAATTAGGCATATCTATTGTACAAGACCTCTTTAAAGTGTTCAAGAGCAAAGAGAACAGCTTGAGGACTACGGTGTGTCAGACCCAAGCCACGCTATTTTCAACAGCCTCATTAACATGTGAAAATTGGACAAGAAACAAGGCAGACTGTATTAGAGTTGGTGCATTTGAGTTATGGTATTGGAAAAGACTATGAAAGGGCGCCAGAAGAACAAGCAAATGTGTGTTAGAAGAAGCACAGCCCGAATGCTCCTTAGAAGCCAGGACGGTGAGACCTCATCTCTCATACTTTGAACATGTCATCAGGATGGACCGTCCCTGGAGAAGGCCATCGTGCTTGGTAAAGTAGAGGAGGATCAGTGAAAAAGAGAAAGACCCCCAATGAGATGGACTGGTACAGTGGCAGCAGCAGCAATGGCTCAAACGAACCAGTTGTGAGGAAGGCACAGGACTGGACAGTTTCATTCTGCTGTGTATGTTGTTGTTGTTAAGTGCCGTCGAGTCGGTTCTGACCCATAGCGACCCTGTACAGGGTTTCCGAGGGTGTAAATCTTTACGGGAGCAGAAAGCCTCATCTTTCTCCCGCTCTGCTGTGTATACGGTTGCTTTAAATTGGAACTAACAATGGCACCTAACAACAACAATGAGGTCTGGTTTCAGAAGCATGCCATTTTCAAACCACAGCTTTATCCTGATGGATCTGGGGAAGATGCTGACACATTACATGATTCAGTGCGAAGGACTGTTCACAGGTCGATTGTAAAATCTTGGCATGCTAACATGGTATAAAAATAAGCCAGAACCCAGAGTCAATGCGTCAGGGTAGCGCGATGGGTTTTCCAGCCCATGGAACAAGGCAGGCTGAGCCGTTTGGGGGACAAGGCTATCTGCAGAGTGGGATGCCTCCAGGTCCTTAATGGAGCGGGGCAGCAGAGCTGAGTGTCTTCAGGCTGAGGCTTGTGCTTGTGAAGTGGGGTGCTCTGTGAGCTTTACCCAGAGCTTTGTAAGATTGCCCAGGGCACGAGTGAGGAGAGGCTGACTTGAGGGGGAGAACTCTGCCCTGAGCATTTTCTAATCCAGCCCCCGCAGCCTGTTAACTTCCCTAACAGACCCCAGAACTGGGAGCATGGTGAGCTCTGGGTGGCCACTGCACTAAGCTACTGAATCCCGCGGACAAGGAGTGTGTGTCCTGGAAAGCATGGCCTGATGTTCACCTAAGCGCCTGGCATCTGCACAGTAAAACCCAGTTCTGTCTGACAAAACAGAATAGGAAAAATCTCAAATCCTGAAACAACTGTCACATATACATGTATGTTCAACTGGAGAGGACACTTACTGTATTAAGTATATTTACTTATTTCTCCTCCATTTCATCTAATCCCCAAACACCAGTCAGTTCTACAAACATGCTCAATCTCAACACTTACCACTTGATTTAATTTCTCGAACATAGTTGCTAGGGAACCAGCCAGTTTTGCCATTGTGAGTGCCCTCCCACCAGCCCCCTTCTTCCACTCTAGTGACATGGATGATATCTCCTTTTGTAAAAGAAAGTTCATCTTCATTTGTCTGTTGAAAATTAAACTTTGCTCTTACAACCAGTTGATTGTTGCTATTATCAGTCATGTCCTAAAAAGAAAAGGGAAAAAAAAATTCCATTAAGTATAGTCTAGTGCACGCTAAAGTAATTAGACTTCAATATTATAAATGTTATCTAATTAGAAACAATTTTTTTTTCAAATAGCAGAAAAGTGTTTAAACAAGTTTCCCATCTCCCCACTGAAATGTTACCACCACTGTCATTCTCCTCGGAGGAGGAAACCTGCTCCCGACAGGCCATCTGAGGTCTGACTGCTTTATGTCCGCACAGACACACGCAGCTTTCATACATATATTTTCCACCAGTACTGACACAGTGACTTCAATTTGACAATAATCTGGGTGACTGAGCCAAACATTGTTTAAACAGCTCTCCATTAATGGATTTAATATATATATATATTTCCAGTATTTCTGTATCATAAAACAATACTACATTAAAAAAGCATTATGCATCTTCCTTTAAACATAAATATAAATAAGTCTATAAGCTATACTCTGTTCAGAGGAGATGCGTGAAACATTTAAAATTTTCATACACATTTCTAAATTGTCCTCACTGAGTACACATAATCATTTGTCTTGATTCTGAAGAGATCATCGGTGGGGGGGATCCTGAGTAACTGAAGTGCTATTATTACGTAACAGCCCCATACAATGTGTACTAACTAGTAAGGGGGGGCGGGTGCAGAGACTACACCCATCCAGCTAACTTCCAGATGTGTCCTGATATCAGCAACCATGCACATTACTGCTTCAAACAGACAACGGAATAAAGCCAAGAAAAGAGGGACAAAGGAGGCCCTGAGCCTGAACCCCCTCCCAGACCTCCTGCCTCATCACTTTTATCTTTTCAGATTTTAACTGATGGGTATCTCTAAGTATGATGCAGCTTTGAGAACAGTTTCTGGAAAATGCAATGGAAAGATAATGAAAGTTTTCTACACATTTTTTGAAGCCCTCTAGTATGTTGTGATTTGGGGCCACTGAGTAAGTTCAGACTCCTAACGACACTGCACAATACAACAATACACTTCTTGGCCCTGTGGTTTTGTTTGACCCCAATGTTGTTGCACTGTGTCAATCCATCTCATTGGGAGTCTTTCTCCTTTTATCTGACCCTCCATTTTACCTCTGTGCAGATAAACCAAAAAAAACTACTGTCATCGAGTCCACTCCGACTCACATTGTTGTTGTTGTTAAGTGCTGTCGAGTTGGTTCCAATCATAGCAACCCTGTAGAGGATTTCCGAGGAGCGTCTGGTGAGTTTGAACCACGAACGTTGTGACTCAAACCAATTTTGCCGTCCAGTCCTTTATTCCTCAATCTTTATGTGAAAAGACAGTCTCATCTCTCCCATAGGGAACAACAGGTGGGTTCTAAATGCTAATCTTGCAGTCAGCAGCCCAACACGTGGAATGCACTATGCCACCAGGCCTCCTGTATAAATGCTGTGAATGAAGCCACTAGGGCAACACGAGCCGGCAAGGCCCAGCACCTGCCTATGTAACAGTCCCCTGTAACTTGTGTAGTACCCTGACTCAGCTGGGGGACCTCGTCAGAGAAGGGCTGCTCGGGCAGTGAATGTGAGGGACAGACATCTCCTAACCTGTTGGCGCCAATCCAGGTCCGGGTGGCTGGATAAGGGAAGGTGAGAACTGGATCCACTCCCAGATGGAAAGTGGATTTATGCTGGTCCTCAGCACAGTTAGCAATAGAGGTGGTATTGGTCACTTTGCTCTTGTATTAGCGCACTGTCCAAAAAGCTTCTAGAGAGTCCTAGCAAGTAACATTCCCATCAACACTATCGAAGAGTTTCTATTTCATCAAATATCACCAACACTGAATTATCGGTCTTATTTTTGCCAAACTGATGTGATTCAGTGGGTTAAGGCATCTGCTGCTAACCTTAGGCCACTCCATTGGCTGCCTGCTCCCATATAGATTCAGTCTCAGAAACCCTAAGGAGCAGATCTACTACAACCGGCAGGAACAGAAGAGACTCCACAGGAGTGGGGAGGAAGGGAGTGAAGAAACGGATGGTACCTAATTTTAATTTGTATTTCTTTTAGAGATTAGGCATACTAGGAGGCTTCCAAAAGTTCCAAAAATTACAGAAAAGTAATTTTTATACACACTTTTTGAAGCCCTCTCATATTTTCAGATCTACACAAAACTTTTGATCAAGTTGAAAGTTCATTTTTAAAGCCAACTCAAAGTAAAAGTAGTTCAAAACACAGGAGGAATGGTTTCTTTCTTTAGTACCCATACCTAAGTTTCTGTACAATGACTTGTGGATTTAAATGCTACATCAGATATGACAGTAACTGACGCCTTTACCCATACCAGGCTTCTTATGTGCACCTCTTGTGAGGCCCAAATTATAACCACAGGGTTGGCGGTTCAAGCTCACCAGCTGCTCCTTGGAAACCCTATACAGGGTTTCCATGGGCCAGAACCGCCTCGATGGCACTTAACATCAACAACAAATTATAATCTACATGATGCCTTTTTTTCATGCTTTTATTTTCATTCCTTCAATGCATGTTTTGTATATTCTTAAATTGTATGTTTGTTCTTTTAATCCAACTGATGAGACTCTTTAGGGGTGTTGGTGGTATAGTGGGTTACACGTTGGACAGTAAACCACAAAGTCAGCAGCTTGAATCCACCAGTCACCCTGCAGGAGACAGATGAGGTTTTCTGCTCCGGTGAAGAGTCACAGACTAGGAAACCCTAAAACAGGGTTAAAATTGCTGTAAATCAGAACAACTCGACTTAACAGCAACAGTAAAAGTCTCTTTCAATGAATGAGTTTAATCCACTTACATTTACTGTGATTACTCATTTTTAAAATCTCCTTTGGACATATTTTATTTCTTGTTTTCTATTTGCCAGCCAAAGAAGAAAAAATTATAGGTTTTATGCGATTCTCCAATGAATTGGCCCAGACTATGCCATATCTAGAATCCTGGTGTGGTGTTGTAGGATAAGCACTGGACTGCTGAGTACAAGGTTGTTTCAAACTCACCAGCTGCTCTTCAGAAACCTTGTATACAGTCGCTGTAAGTTCGAACCAACTCAATAGCCGTTAACAACAGTAAGAACAACAACCCCTAACTGTACTTTTCTCTCTGAAATGATCACCAAGAATCAAAGAAAACATTTAATGAACAGCATAAAGCAAAGCAAAGTGGGTTAAAAAGAAACTAAGGGGGTGGGGGAAGCAAGTGCTAACCAAAGACTTTCTACAAGAATCACTTCACACACAGGTTAAAAAACAAATGGAAACACACTATGCAGAAAAGGCATCGGCAAGTAAAGGCATCAGTAAAATGAAATCAATGTTGGATAAAGTCGATTTCAAGATCAGGTTCATCAGAGATAATGAAAAACATTTAATAGTGATAAAGAACAATAAAAGAAAATAAATCATTAGAGCATCCTGAGCCACTTAATATCCATGGTAAGTTTTGTAAAATAGGCCATTAGGTGACTTGGACATTGTGTAAACACCACCCAGAAGACACACTAGAGCTTCAGAACACATGAATCCGACTCCCAGTCCCAAATAAGATGGCAAAGACTCACTCTTCCCTCAAGGTCACTCGAAATATAACTACAATTCCTGGACTTAATTCAACAGATAATCCTAAAAGGACTCAGGAAGGTGAAAAGAAGAATGTGGACTGGCTAGAATTTGTTTGTTTGTTTAAACTCCATATATCCTGGACTGGGTGGGTGCAACCAGGAATGAGCAGCAGGTATAATCATCTTCCTTTCTATTTCTGCTCCCATAAAGATGACAGTGTCGGAAACCCTCCGCAGGGTTGCTGTAAGTACCAACTGCTGCTCTGAGTCCGAAAGGCCTGTCCCCTGGGCAGAGCAGCCGAAAGGGGCAGCTGACAGCAAAGGCCTAGGGAGGACTCCCACACTTGGCTCCATACCTAGAGGAAGCAGCTAAATCTATTCGGTCTGCATCAGTGGTCACATTCAGAAACAGGCACATTCTTCGTCCTCCAACCAAGTCTACCTGCACCGCAGTGACCGAAGTCCCTGGACATACACCTCCCCTACCCCTAGCAACAGCAAGCTCCACCCACACCAGTGGGCTTACCAAATACCAGGTCAAGAAGCCCATCCTCTCCTCTCCTCCGTCAGACGACAGCACACAGGCAAACTCTACGGCACACTCCACGGCACTCAGTCACAGAAGGTGAACCAGGCCTAACGTTTCCCAGCACTCCGCTCAGCCTCTGACCCAGCAACTTGCAGCCACACACCCAGTCACAGAGGACAACTGAGGCCCAGAACCAGGACCTAGCAGTTCTTCACACACACCCTGCTACTACCACCACTGCAAAAAAAAAACCCAAAAACAAAGAAAGGAAGTCCAGGAGGTACTTTCCTCACCTGACATCATCCCTCATAGAGATGGCGAGGGAAGCTGCTGAAATCAGGAAAGAAATGCTTCCCTTCCCATCGTGAGGGTCGGCATCCTCCACCCCTTCCAAGTGACACCTGAAAGGTCACACAAGTGCCTTCCATTCCAGTGAGTGGGTGCCCTAGCACCAACAGACGGTTCAGAGGACGAGTCCAGCATCTCCCGCTCCCCACCTACAAGTTTCAGGCCCCATGAACAGCATCATTAAGGATCATGCAACAGCAAGTATAAAACAGGCAAAATACCACTGCAAGGACTCTGAAAACTGAACTGTCACTGGAATTATACTCAAGTTGCTGTTAAGTGCCATCTAGTCAGTTAGGACTCTACTGTGACCGTGTATATATAGGGTTTCAAAGGAGCCGCTGGCCTTCCAGTTAGCAGTCCAGTAGTAATTACCTGACTGTGTCACACCAGGACTCCAAAAAGTATCAGCACAGGTCATTTACTATCCATGAATCAGTTCTGGGAGATAGGCCGCTATGTGACTTGTACAGTATACGGTGCAAACACTGTATCCGAGTCTAACCCTCCTTTTTCTTTAAGCATCTCAAACAAGCTTCATGTCTTAGCAGTGAACGCCAGC